GGTGAATACCTCTCATATTACTGATTTACTGGTAGTCTTGAAACTCTACTCAAATACGAAAATAAGTAACATAGTCTATTATTATTGCAAATATACATTTGCTTCATTGGCAATCCCACCAAAGAATATGATATGGCAAAAAGCCCGACCTTCCTTGAAATTCACTTATGCCCTGTGACCGAAGGGCATTCGTGGCAATGTGGCCGAGTGGTTAACATGTCAAGCTCCCGTTCTGCACTGTCACGGTTCGACTCCCGCCGGGGGGTGTTGATAAGACTGATGCGAGGTCGAGGCTGCAGTCCACTGGTGCCTGGATGAGAAAAACTTTTGGGAAAACAAGGCAATGTGAAATTCAATGGAAACGTCAGCTCAACTCATATCATTGTGGGAAAATTCTGCTACCAGGCCTTCATCACCCTAAACGAAATAGGGAGAATACCTCTCATATTAGTGGTAGAAGCCAGAAGTTTCACCAACTTAGAAAATGCTAGTAGTGATATAGAGTTAAAGGTTGCCCTTTTGTTGGCGGCTATATAGAGGTGCCGACTAGGAATAGAAGAGTGAACAACATCATAAGGGAACTATTGCCGGGGAGATCTTCATTTGTATGAAAGTGCATGAAGAAGGGATTCGTAGTATAGACGTTGTTTGACCATGTTTTCACAACTTGCTCATAATAATAGGAAGACCTAGATAAACGTACCTAAGTCGGAGTACATAGTATAGATGATAATTTCCAGAGTTGCAAATTGGACGTGGTACATTCGTAGGTCGATCTTACCAGAAGACGACGGTTGAATCAGGTTGTACTACAGCTGTTTGGCTTTACTACGACGTTCACGTTGACGCAGTCCACGAGACATCCTCAATCGCTTCGGGTGAAAACGGGCTGAGCTTTAGTCCTTCGTGTGATGGACATCATGAGAGCTGGAACTCATTCTTGTAAAAGTCTCACGTTAACACCAGATCAGGAAGTCTATCCAGCTCTTTCTTACCTCTTATATGTACTAATAACCAAAGACGAAAATGAACAGGCATAAATATATATAGGATGGCTTGGCTGATTATCGTTCATACTGCTCTTGCTTCTTTTGTTCGAGAGTGTGTACGTGTGTGTGTGTATATATGTTTTGTGTCTGTACACAATACCGGTTCTAAATCAGAGTGATCAAAAGGCTAATGTCAGGCTCTGGTCATCAAGATTTAATGACCCAAAAAACGCCTCAACCGAGACTGCGTATGTCCTTAAGCAAATATGTTTGAGCTAATGAGATGTAAGCTTGTAAGTGTGTAAGTCAAGTTACGAAACCACCTGTTCTAACCTCTCAGTCTAGGGTCTCCAAGGGTTAACCAGTCAAGGAAAGACCTGACATGGGCTGCGTAATCTCGTTCGACTGGTTCAGTTGATGATCTTAATCTAACATGTTGGACAAGTGTAGGTTAATTAAAGAAATGAAGACCATTATGTTGTGGCCTCTGGTGTGGTCGCAGTCTCCTGTCGATTTATAGAAGTAGGTTAACCTCGTTGTTACAAATTGGTCTTGTTGTCAGGGCAAATTAGTAGAACGCACCTAGTCCGAAGTCGTCTGTCATAGTAGTTTTCATGATTCCCAGCCTCAGACAGTGGACTTTGTATATTCTCAAACGTTTCGCCGGCCTCATAGTCGGCATCATCAGTGAGTTTTACCATTCTCCGCACCAAGCTACGAACCCTCGACAAACGTTCTGCCGAAAACGGTTACACTATCACTCCTCTTTCTGTCCTTGCCTATCTATAGACTTTTTACCAATATATCCCACTGCCGCCCTATCACAAATTCTGACTTGTCTACATACCATTCGCTGGAAATGCTGGACCGAGAAGATGTTATCCTGGAATCATAACGGATCGGTAGGGAGTCGTTAACAAGACTAATTAACTTGACAATAAGAACAACCTATTTTACATTCAACGGGAACATCTATGAACAAATATTTGGACTTCCCATGGAATCTCCGCTCTCACCACTTTTGGCAAACGTATACATGAACATAATAGAAGAGAGCTTCAAGACGGCACCACTACAACCTACAGTGGTCATGCGGTACTTGGATGATTACTTCGCACTTTGGTCATATGGAAGAGAAAGACTAGAGGAGTTTATGAAGTTTGTAAACCAGATTGATGGAAAAATTCAATTCATGATGGAAGTAGAGGAAGGTGAGAGGTTACGGTTCCTGGACGTTGAAGTGATCCTCTCTAATGGGACGCTCAAACAGAAATTGTTCAGAAAAAAGTCCAATGCTGGGATAATACTCAAGTTCCGGTCCCATCACAATTACAGGCTAAAGATTGGAATAATGTGGAGCATGATCATCCGAAGCCTACGCTTAACGGATGTAGAATTGATGGCGATATTCCTCGGCAATGGCTACCCTAGCGAGGTAATACAATGAAACATACGGGCCGTGAAAAGCCGATGGCAGAACGGGGACTAGGAAAGAACAGTAAGGAAGATAAAGGATTCATAAAAGTGGATATGCCTACCTTCCTGCAATCTAACTCAAAAACGACAGCCAATATTGAGTAAGTGGAATATTCAGGTGGCCATGCAAGAGAAATCAACACTTTTCACAAATCTACCAACGCAACATAAGAGGGTAGAAAAATTGTATTGTTCAGGAGTTCACTATATATCATGCGGTGCATGCGAGCAGACATATATTGGCGAAACAGGGATAAAAATTAGCACACAAATCAAGGAACATGACACGCTCTGCAGTAAAATGGATATCGAATGATAAGAACTAGCAACACAAATAAGAGCTTCATACGGTGACAATACAAGGAAGCGTAAGATTAGGGATGCCATGGACATCCTTAGGGAGACAAATCTAATGAAAAAGAAGGTAAAGTTAGCGATAACTTTGCCTACTGCCTAAGCAAACTCGGGGAGAACAGGATTTGACCATGACCAGCAAAAAGGAAACGCCTGGATCAAGGATCTACAGCTGACCGGAGGAAAAGGGATTGCGACGACGAAAGTGGTGGGGAGGGGTTTTCGGCAATAAAGCGAAGACTTTGTCAGTAAGTGATGCCAATTTCGAATAAACCAGTACAAATTTGGGGCCTGGCAGTCAGAAAGCTGGGCAGAAGGATAAGCAAACGCTGACGGAAATTCGGCGTTATGGCCAAAATGTATTAGAAATCCACTTGAGATGCCTCATGTGACCCGAGATAGGCATCCACAGTTTGCTCAGATGACATGGGTTTAACCAAGGAGAGGATCTGTGAAGGGAAGGCCTGATATCTGCAAGCATGGCAATTAGAGCTTAGGCGCTCTGCTCAGTGAAGCGGCAATGTATGTGCTTCTAGGGCCTCGAGAAATAGCGCCTAGAGTGAAATGCACACAGGGACTGGAACCGAATGAAATCGGTCATCCAGAAAGATAACGA